GTGATGCAGGTCCGAGCACTAGTAGCCAGTGTTGATCGAGCTTGGAGCAGATTGATCCAGAGACGGGAGTGAGCACACGGCGTTTTGTACTATTTCAATCTCCATCTGTATATATAGACTTGTCTTTTACCTTTCGAGACAGTCCAGTCTCTGTTGTCCATTTTTGGGACTTGTACTCATTTTGTTAGTAGCTCTGTACTAGTGACTTCCAGGTTCTGGGAGGGATCTTTATTTGTATTTATGTTTTGGTTTGCTTCCGCCTGGGTATGTTGTTATCTTAAATTTTTGCTTACTCTTGTTTAGCTTCTGCCCTCAAACCCATTACTTGTTGTTCCGGGTTACGGGTTGGCTTACCTACTGGTGGGTTATAGTAGGTGTCATCATGATTCGAGGAATCGGGTCAACAATGCAAGCTTATGAACAGCCAGCTAACGGGCTAATTAATACATCTTATGGATGGATCCAATTTAATAGATATTTTGAACCAGTTGGATAGTTAAGTATCAAACGGCAAGATGGGTATTAGTTAGCGTATCAGAAAAGTAACACATATCTTTTGGTTCTACATGTAGTATAGCTTGAAGTCTTTGGCATATTAATGTTACACGATTTGATTTTTTCAGCCATTCATCTACAGTTTTCTATTTTCTATTTGGTGTTGAATTAAGTTATTTCGAGTTAGGCGCAATTGAATGATGAATATTCTATTACGACAAATTAAAGAGAAGTAACTTTCTTTCAATAATTTCTATTAACTAGGTAGTTATTTGAGAAATCAACTATGTTATATGGGAAACATGTTAAAAAAAGAAATCTTGCATAAATAAAAGAGTTGTACAAAAACACTCAAAAGGGAGAAGACCTAATTAATACTCTCTTCCTTTCAATTTATACGTTTATTTAACATGAAGTAGTAAAACAAAAAAAAGGTCCTGATATTGAAGATGTGTGTAAATTGTAATGTCCGAAAATATATTTGAATTTTGTAATCTTAATTACATAAGGTAGGATGTTGGGTGTATAACTCTTTTCAAGGGGATATGTAGACATTTTGATATTTTCATGTAATTGGAATTTAAAACTTGGTCCTAAAGAGCAAACAGAAGGGCGCATAACACGTAATGTGAAAAATTAGATTTATTATTCCTAATTGATTTTATTTGAGCAACTATTTAATAGATAAGGATAAGTCAAACCTCTTTTCATTCATCCTTCTTCTTCTGCAAACGGTCATATACCAACAATATGTGAAAAGCTCTAATTGAATAGTCAAATTAAATATCAAACGGCAAGACGGCTTAATATTAGACAGCTAAAAAAGTTACTCACAAATACGTATGAAATAGCTTTTCACTTTTCGACCGATGTATAAAACACCTAAGAAAGGGAGTTTGTGATCTGCATAATAATATATAAAAGTATATAGGTTCGACTTACTAAAGGAGAAAAAAAGGTGAGAACTACTAGCGAGGGAAATAAAGCAGTATAAATGGATAGAAAAAAAAGCTCCTAATAATAAGTAGAGTATGGAGTTGCCAACGCTAGCAGAGGTGATTTCCTACGAACAGCGACACCACTGGCTTCGGTCATATCCAACTCCTCCGGTAATGAGAAATTGAACTTGTGCACAAGTCTTGCTAATGCTAGCTCAATTACCACAATAGCAAAACCAGTTCCTGGGCAGCCCCTTCTCCCTGCTCCAAACGGAATCAACTCAAAGTTTAATCCTTTTACATCAATATTACTGTTTAAGAACCTCTCTGGTCGGTACTCCTCTGGATCATCCCATGACAACGGGTCTCTTCCAATTGCCCATGCGTTGATAATAACTTGAGTTTTTGCAGGTATGTGATAGCCAAGTAATTCAATGTCTTCTGTTGATTCTCGAGGAATTAGTAGTGGAATGGGTGGATGAAGCCTGAGAGTCTCTTTGATCACTGCTTTAAGATAGTGCATATTTCTTAAGTCATCCTCTGTTATCTCTGTTTTCCCTTGGCCTAATTCTCGCACTTCATCTTCTAATTTTTTCATAACTCTTGGATGCCTTAAAAGCTCTGTCATTATCCACTCTAAAGCTGTATATGTTGTATCCACACCAGCAGCAAAATTATCCTACGCATTAAAAAAAGAAACACACAAGAAAAAACTAAAATTGTTATGCCGGATTAGGCATATATGACTAAGTGGAAGCATAATCAATACTTAATATTCTACATCACCAAGTTTTTAACGATGAAGCCATACAGTAGTACAAATTATAATCAAATGCTCCGATTTATTTTTATTTTAAAAAAAAAACATGCCAAGGAGGGAATAAATAGTATGAGAGATGATTCATTACCAAGATGATAGCTTTCAATGAATCCCTTTGAAGAAGAAATCCAGTTTCCTTTCCATTCTGAATTTCCAACAAAACGTCTACAAAGTCTTTAGCTTCACCCGTGCTGTCTTCTCCTTTGTTTTTCCTACTAACGTGTTCTTCAATCACACTCTCCAAAAATGTATCCAACTCTTTAGCTACTTTCTCCACTTTGTTGGCCAAACCGTTGATTTTACTGATCCATTCAAGCCATGGAATGTAATCCCCAATGCTAAAAGTACCCAAAAGTTCACCAAATTCATGTAGAGTGACCTTAGCATTCATTCCTCCTTGTCCTTCTTCATTATATTTCCTCCCTAAGGCCACTCTGCTAACTATGTTATTGGTGAGAGAACTTAAACAATCTCTTAAATCTATCACTGAACTCGAAGAATTAGACTCACACTCTTGTCTGATTTTTACAATCATATTCGATGTCTCTTCTTCTCTGATATCACGATAAGATTGGACTCTTTTGTTGCTGAGAAGGTGAAGCACGGTGACACTTTTAATTTGTCTCCAGTATTCACCATAGGGACTAAAGGCCACATCCTTAGAGCCATAAAAGAGTCTATCAGCGATGCTAGATTTAGGTCTATTTGACCAAACGAGATCGTGTGTTTTCATGATATTGCGAGCAGCATCTACAGAGGAAGCAACAATCACTGGCTTACTGCCAAAGTGCAGTAGCATGACAGGGCCATATTTTTTTGATAGTTGATGGAGAGAACGATGAGGAAGCGATCCAAGTTGATGGAGATTGCCTATGATTGGAAGCTTTGTTGGAGATGGTGGTAACTTATTTGAAGTAGAAAAGAAGCATTTATGAAGGAAGAAAAACAGAGGAATTAGAAGAGCATACCAGATAAGATCCATTGTTACTTTGGTTTTTGTCAACTAGGAAATGTAGAATTGAGTGTATAAATGGAAACAACTAGTATAAAATATCTCCTCATTTTTAATTTGGGTATAACGTTAGAGGATAAGCTTCACCACACAAACTAAAGGAGGCTATTGATTTTCATGCTTGACTAGTACTCCAACTTTTAACACAAATTTTTGTATAGTTCACACAAAGATAACCATTCGATCTTTAACCACAAATTTCATTTGCATAGGATGCAATTAAGTTCACTACATCTTCTATTTTGTCCTCTCCTTTTTATACTACAAAATATTTAATTACTTTCTGATAAGTTCTTATGTTCCTTGATGTTTTGATGATCTCCTCACAAGTGCAGGGACCTGGTCCTCTGCAGAGTATGAATACTCGTCCAGTGGTCAAAGTGTTGTCCAGCTGTCTGCGTCAGAAAGTTGGTGAGTTGCAGAGTACTCCACCAATCAAAAGCAATGAGGTTACTTGTACGTTTGGCAGTATTTCTTCATGACATATATCAAACAACAAACAACACTTCGATCTCATTCATTCAAAGAGAGATATTTCAAGCTTCAAGAACAGCAGGGACTTGATCGATTACTTCAAGTGCTTCCTGTATCGGCTGATACTTTGTTTGCTTGTAATAGTGCTTATATTGTAGGATTCGTTTCGTTGTGATAAGAAACGTTTCAACTTGTGTGAATCATTGTGAGTTCTGAGTTAGAGTTAACTTGGTTCTGACTCCAAAACCTATATTAATCAGGATAGGATTAGTATAGTGGGTAGTGTGGTATCTACTTTAGCTCGTCTAAGTAATAGGAGGTGTTACTTAGAGTTGGGATTAGCAGGCTAATCTCGGTTTGTAACTGGCTTTTACTTTTGCTTAGAGAAGATTAGTGAAAAGCAGTTCTAAAAGTCCTGGCAGGCCAGATCGTGGTTTTTACTCCCTTGAGCAAGGAAGTTTCCACGTAAACTCTCTTGTCGATCTTTACTTTTCAGCACTTGTTTCTTTACTGTTTTAGTTTCAACTGTGCTGAGGACCTGGTCCCATTGATATTAGTGGACGCATACATTCCATCACTTTCAAAACATCAAATGAGGTCATTGAAAATATATAACAAAGTCACTAGATCACCCCTGTTTATACTTGGGTTATTTAACAACAAATGACTATGATCACCCCTATTTATACTTGTGTAAGGATATTTCTAGAAATTATTCTAGATAGATCTAAAAGAGATCTAGATGACCTTATCTTATAACTACATGAATCTAGACTATCTTATAATTTACTATAAATATCTAGAACATATACACAATTCTTAAATACATCAGTCTACATAACTCTAGAAAGTTCTACTAAATATCTAGAATTATTTGTACCTCCAAAAAATCATTTTTATTTTTCACAAGGGGGACACGTCAAAATACCGGGCTTCTTTTTCCTCTTCGTTTGCTATATTCAGTAATATCCCAATTCCCAACTAAATTTTAGTTGTGTTGTATTTGAATCATAAATACTAGTTTAGGAGACTATGGAATTGAATCATGAATGGTGTCACTGATCATCCGGAATTCTCATGAGATGGATGAATCCCATGTTTCCACAACCTAGATATTCTTTAGAGGATGCAGAGCATGTTTCTCTCTAGAAGATACAGTAGGCGTTTCTCTCTTGTAAATCCTAGTCGTCAACCATGCAAGCTAATTAACACCCCTGTGGGTGAACCTGATTCAATAGATATTTCCAACAAGTTGGATAGTCAATTATCAAACAGCAAGATGCATGGATTATTGGCGTAGCAGAAAACTGAAAAGTAACACATTTTGGTCCTTACATGCTTCAAGTCTTTGGCATATTTTTTTAATGTAATATGCGTTTTGATTTCACGATCACTCAACTAACTAATACTAATAGAATTGTTAGAAGAAAAGTCAATTATCTTAATTATACTATAATAGAAAAATAATTTTATTTTTGTCATCCAACACTCAAAGTCACTCACTACACTTAGGTGACTATTCCAGCCACTTAAACTACTCTACAATTTTTTGTCACTCTTGATGTCAAATGAAGTTATTTCAAGTTAGGCGCAACGGATATCGCTGTTCGTGTACCACTCTGGAGTCTGGACAGGGACGGATTTACTAGGCAAAAGAAAACATAGCAGATACTACCTCCGTTCATTTTTAATTATCATGGATTTTTTTAGAGTCAAACGATAAGTATTTTAATTACTTAACATTTTATAATATATTTTTTCATCATATTGATATGCAAAAAAACTGCAATTTATAGTATTTTTCATATAGCTTTTTGAATATCTAAATTTTTTGTTTAAAATATCGAATTAATGTAATCTAATTTCACTTGAAAATTACTCAGAATAGCACAACATGACAATTAAAAGTGAACGAAGGGAGTATATTTTAAAAAGTAACACTACAGGACACAAAGTTTGCACAACTTAGTTGGTTAATTAGGCTCTTCAAATTCACAGCCTAAATAGCAAATTCGAATCTTTTAGACGTTATTTTGATACATTTTTTGGTTCTCCATTTTGAATACATTAAAAAAAAACTCATAAAGAAAATGTTATAATATTTTTTATTTTTTAAAAGAGTAAAATAATACTCTATATGTGAATTATGTTTTGCTTTTATATTTTTTTAATTGTTTCACATTTAAATAGGTGACTCCGCTTGGAGCGTGGTGAACTGGTGATGTATGGCAGTAGCAAATGCATGTACTCTGATCAGTTGTTTTGTTTAATTTATTGAAATGTGATGAGTGATTTTGGCTTCAAATTATATTGACACGTTTGCTAACTGGCCGGAATATCATCTAAATTTTGTGCGTGAAATGAAAAAATAAAATTGAGTGAATATTCTATTATAAACTAAAGAAAAGTCTGTTTCATTCAACAATTTCTATTAACTTTGTTATTTGGTATATGCAGAACATGTTAAAATAAGAAACCTTGCATAAAAAAACATAAAAGAGATGTTTAAAAACACCCAAAACGGAACTATGGTTATATTTGGAAAGGAATAAATATATATTACTCTCTCTGTTTCATTTTATGTGAGGTAGTTTGACTCGGTACGGAGTTTAAGAAAAAAAAAAGACTTTTAAAACTTGTGGTCCAAAATAAATGATAGAAATTTGTGTCGCTGTAAATCATTTCATTAAGGGTAAAATAGACATTTTATAGTTAAATTGTTACTTAATATAGAAATGTGTTATTCTGTTTTAGACTGACTAAAAATGAAAGTAAGTCACATAATTGGGATAGAGGGAGTAGTATTTTAATTTAATCTCAACTGGTATCTATGTCATCCAACGCTAGAATTTAGATGTATATAAATAAACAGTTAATTTTGTATAGAGTTGAATAAGTTGACACATTACGTCCTACGTGATATTCTTCAATGTCTTATGCCACATAAAATGTGTACGTCTCCTTTTACTCATTTTTATAGGGGAATAGGGTAAAAAATGCCCTTAAACTATGTGAAAGGAACAAAAATGCCCTCCATTTATAGTTTGGCTCAAAAATGCCTTTACCGTCAATACTTTGGTTCAAAAATGCCCCCCCGTTTGTAATTTGGTCCAAAAATGCCCTTATAGTTACAAAATGGGTCAAAAATGCCCTCCGAATTTTTTATTTTTTTTCTTTTTAAACACATCTTCTTCCTAATTAAAATATTATTAAAGAGCAATATTCTTGTTTTCTTTCTTCTAAAATCACTTAACAAATAAAAATGTAGGAAATTTTTTGGAATTTTTTTTTTCTTCTTCTTAATCTTATTTTATCAATTAAAATGGAATAATTCCATGTACTCTTTCGATAGATAATATATGTCATATGTATAAGATCATAGTATAGCCATCATTAATTTATATTTATATAACGATAAAAAAATAATGATAATAAAATAAGAAATATTATCATTTTTTTGTTAACCAAAGTAAGATAAACATTTGTTAATTTAAAAAATATTATTAGAAAAAGAATATGTTAAAAAGAAAATAATAATATATTTATTTGGAAAATGAGCATTTTTGACCCATTAAATAACAATAAAAGCATTTTTAGACCAAAGTGTTGACGTCAAGGGCATTTTTGGACCAAACTACAAATGGAAGGCATTTTTGATACTGAATCTGTTAGTGAA